AACTAAAACAATTGAACAAGGTTGCAGTCTTTTCTAGATTAGATAACTTTCTTCTCACTTCAGTTTTACGTTACTGACACCATAAATACAGTAAATCATAAAACCAAGCAACACTCAGAAACCAGTAATTTCTTTYCTCAGGTCTGATGTAAGCTGCAGAGTACCTGCTATGAGCCTTAAGGCACACATTTGTCCAGGGGTTCAAGGATTCAATGCTAATGTCTAAGCCTGGACTAACTGTCCTACAATCCATGAGTTCATCTCTGTAACCATGGAATAACCAAGGTCGGAAAGGATCACCAGTGGTCATCATGTCCAAGCCCCAAATTAAAGCAGAGCTAATTACAACAGGTTGCCAAGGGCCACATCCAACAGTCTTGAACTTCTTGAACTCCTCCACAGATGGAAATTCCACAAYCTCTCGGGGCAACTTCTTCCGTATTTTACCACCTTCATGGGAGAAATTATTTTCCTTATGTGCAATCAAAATTTCCCATTCTTCCAAATGACTGTGYTGCCTCTCATACTATTGCCACAGGCTTCCAAGAGTCTGGTCCCATTTTCTCTATATGCTCCCTATCCTGCCATCAGCTAGTTAAGCCTTCTTTCCTTCTAACATTGAGCTAGCCCAGATCTTGCAGCCTCTTCATTTCCTGGGGACCCTCTACTGTGGATTCACCCATTGATGTGGTTATGTCAGCATCCTTCTGGGAAGCTCAAAACTGGACACCATTTGCAAGATRCAGTCTCACAAATGCTGACTAAGGGGGAATAACCACTTCTTCATAAACGAATTAATGAGATTAGGTTTCTCAGGATCTTTTTTTTTTCCATCAGAAAGTATTCTATTTTCAAATTTGACACAGATGTGAGAAAAGCTCACAATTCTATACTTCAATTCCTTTTTACACCAGTGGCTAAGGTAGTTATTTAACATGTGTATCTTATCCTAGCTTTCATCTGAAACAAGGTTCACATCACTGCTACCACTAACTCACTGCAGCATGAAAAACTTGCAGTATATGCTGCAGTCATCTTAAGTGTGCTCCCCGAAAGAAGTTACACTAACTTGAATTCAAGCAAAAGCACCTACAAAATCAAGATTAAACTATTGTTCCACTGCACCTCAAGCATCCCACAAGGTGAATTGACATGCAGTTTGATTGCTCTATTTAAGAAGAGCAAGCACAAATCACAGGACTACACAAGCTGTTTTCTACATTACACACCAAAGCTTCCAGGAAAGAAATATCTATGCTGGCCATTTTAATCACTGTTAGAATTCAGGACTTGAGACAGTTTTAAAGGGATGCAAATCCCACAGTCCTCCCACTCTTCCCAACCAAACTGGCCCTCGCCTTCCTTAGGAAGTAGTATGAGACCTTGTTTACAAAGACAAGTATACAATAAGCTATCTGGAAGTTGCTACAGAATAATTTGAAAACCTTCTAGAAACATCAGGGAAATGAAAATTTGCTTATATAATTCCAGCTATCTAACTGACTTGGAGATACTTAACACAGCAGAAACTAAGAACCTGATACCTAAAACCTATATTCCCATTTTTTTTTTAGTTTGAGACTATTTCTTCTTTAACTTCTAGAAGCATAGTAGACCCATTCTAATGTGAGAAGCTCAATTAAGGAGTAAAAAAAAATCACATTACTAAGAATTTGTTCACAATAATAGGTAGATTCCAATCTTGGAAAATAAGGGCATCTTCTCCCATCAAAGACTACCAATCTCCCTATTTTAAGCAAGAAAATTCTTTTCAGATGCAGCACTGGAAAACCATYAGCAAAACATTAGCAAAAACCACTTGCAAAACACTCCTATAGAGAAATACATTCCAGTTTAAAATCACATTGCAGAAMGGAAAAGCATTTTCCCCGTACTTACTATTCTCACAAGTGTCTTGATAACACCTAAACACCATTGTTCTATTGAATGCAACACTGTCCCCAAAAGAACAGAAAAGCATAAGAAGCAGAATAATGCACAACTTGAAGTGGCAACTTCACATCCCTTTYACTAGATTTGCTCTCTTTCTCCTATCTATCTTAAATTGCTTATATCATGACATCACCCTTTAAGATGTCAGGCTTTCATATTATATAGTGCAGTATTACATCAGAGCTCTAAATTAATTTTAAGTCCATCCATTACTATTCTTCCTAACCATGAACTCCCTTAACTGTACAGTTAGAAAAAAAAATCACTTTTCTCCAACATTCCACAATTTTTAATTGCATGGCTCTTCAACCTCTCTTAATTAAGGTGTTCATAGTGAGATTGAAATTCAGTGAATCCAACAGTCTCTAAACAGATTAACCTCAAGCAGGACCCAAGCAATTTGACACGAGAGTTCTCAAGAAACTCTTGCTATTTACCTTAGTATTTCAGCAAATGTTTTTAATATGCTGGAACCCTAACTTCAAATGGTCACTTTTCTAGTCACTGATGATATTTCATTAATCTCCAAGGTAGCCAAAGTCAGTTACYGCACCGTTTTAGTAGGCAGCAAGTTTCCCTCAAAGAGGTTTAGCAGTTCAGGAGACAAATACAACCTCTTCTAAAATTAAAGCAAACAATTTCACCCTCTTCTACTCATGCTGGAGTAAGAGAAAAGAACTCTACGTCAATACCACTCTCAGTGGAGGGATTATCACAAGGAAACCTTTGGAACTAAGCTTTATTATTTTTAGGATTAAAATCCCCCAAAACAACATAAACAGACATACTAAAAAGAAAAAAAGAAAGGAAAAAAAAAAACCAAACCAAAAAACTTACACAGGTAACCTGAACAGAAACACCCTAGGTAGAAGAGAATTTCTCTTTTTTCACATTGTTAAAAATGGGTAAAGCTTTCCTGCATTTACAAGCCCTACTGGAGGGCATGGTAATGTATTATCCTGTCTCTAAGCTCTCCCCTCAGAAGCTMCACAGTTTTCCAGATAAATTGTCAATGACTGCAACRCTTCTTTAAACCAATGGTTTTCCTTGCCCTCCTRTTCCCATTATTTAGGTAGATCTCTTTTGCCTCTTATTTCTCACACAAACTCAATGAAAGGCTTTCTTGAAAAAGTTCTTTTCCTCATCCTTACTTTTCTGKTTTTTTTTTTCTTTTCTACTAAGTTACAGTTGAATTCTTTCACGTAAACTGCCTCCTTTTTGGTGCTTGCTTGCTGCTGCAGATTCTCAAGTGCTGTGTGTGGTATGCACTTAGCATATACATACACAGACATATATATTCAACACAAAGTAAGYATTAACGTGTTTCCTTTTTTCTGCATAAAGGCCCAAAAACCAAAACTGAAAAGGCAAAAGACCAATCAAGTAGCCAAATCTGTGGTAAGTCAGCAAACACATCTTTTGGCAGTTTAGAACCAGTGATGCTATTTGAGAAAGCTGGATATGGTTGGTTCCTCTAAACAGTTGCTTCTTCCAGTCCAGTTCTAACATTCAGACCCTCACTTTGAAAGTCGGCATGAAGTTAGCCCACATAAAATTATGGAGAAAAGAATGTAACACTCCTGGTCATAAATCTCTGACCTACAAGCAGCTGCAGGAAAGCCATCAAACTTTACTACACTCTTCTCATATCCTCTAACAATGCTGCCACACTTTCGGTTTTGGTAAGATTTCTCATGACCACTTCTCTAGCCAACTCGYACCCACTTTAGAAATAGTTATCTCAAATGCCACAGGTCTCCAAAACATATCTGAGCATAATATCACATGCAAGCTATTAAGTGAATAGAACGTCTTACAAACCAGCAAGTTTTTTAAGCTTCCTCAGTTTGACACCAATGTTTTTTCCCATCCACATGCTGCATCACCCATGTTTTCCAGRCACRCAGCTGAACAAAATCCTTGAGGAAATTGCTTCCGTACCCCACTGTTCTGTTCTCCAGAAGTAGAATATAACTGTATTCGGATTTTCTTTTTTAGAAAGCACAGGGTGGAGAAAAACACTCAGAGAAGAGCATTCACCATCATCATGTTTTGTCTTATTTCAAAGATTTACATCTAAGGTTCTATAACCAGCAGTACTTGGCGTTTGAAAGGCAAGACTACCAATGCCATGAGTTCCCCTACCAGTACAAGCTGGCATGGTTGCCAAATTAAAGTATTACGCCCTCCTCTATTTGTTATCTCCCAGTACTGTGCTATCCCTCCCAAGGGACACGGCAAGACTATGAGCATCCATCGAGTCAAAGAAATACAGTAAGTATACTAAGTTAAAGATAATTCAGGAAAAAAAAAGTTTAGCTTTACCCTGCATCAGGTCTCAATCTATACACCGAGTGCATAAGCCTACACTGAAAAAACAGAAGGGACAGCAGAGGACTGAATAACAGAAGGAACAGGATAGATGATGACAGAGGAATGCTCTTCTCAAGCARCTTGAGGTGTCCAAGGAAACACAACCTATTGCCTTCTRCTGGGACCCACTTGTTAACAATCATTAAGCTCCTTACACTGTAACACTGCTCCTTACACTTGAGCGTTCTGCAGAGAACCAATTGGAAGCCTGCAAGCACAATTACAGATAGTCATCACAGGGTTTTAATACAGCCAGATGAGAAGTGCTGCATCAACCTCYAACTCTGCTCTAGAGAGAAGTCCCTGCTCAAGGCTACTTGTACCCACAGCCCCGTGCATCGCACTTGTAACAACAAAACAGTGGTGAAGAACTGCTAAAACCTTTCCTCCAAAACACTGCTGTGGTATAACAAGTTTAAGTTCAAAGCTCTGCCACCACCAAAAGCCTTCCAGTRAAGTTACAGCGGTGACTCGAGGGCCAGTCATTTTACACGCCGCCACCAGTGCGGTGAGCGAGCACCCGCCGGGCGCTACTCGCCCTCCCTCCCCAGGCGAGGGCCGGCGGCACAAACCACCTGGGTTCTGCCGACGTCCCTCACAGCCACACCTCGGTTCCTTCCCGGCCCGCGCCGCCGAGCCCCGCGCCCGCCGCCCGCCCCCTCCCCCGCGCACACCTGGGTTCCCGGCGGGCCGCGCACGAAGCCGTTGCGGAGCGCGCCGTGGGCGCCGCAGCCGTTGGCGCGGGGCCGCTCGGGCCGCTCCATCGCGCCGGCCCCGCCGCGCCCGCTTCGCCGCCCCCGCCCGGCCGCGCCGCACCGGAAGCGCGACCCGCGCTCCCCCAATCGCCGGCGCGCGCGTCACGCGGGGGGACGGGCCTCACCGGGACGCGCCGGCCAGCGTGAGGGGCGGGCCGAGGGCGCCCAATGAGAGCCCGCGSGGCAACCGGCTGGGAGGAGAGTGAGGCGAAGGGAGGGGCTCGCCCAATCGCAAAAGCGGAAAGCTCGGGGGAGGCGGAGCCAAAAGGTGAATACTGTCCAATCACTTGGCAGAGATGGGAGGAGGAACGAAGGGAACGGGACGAGCGAGCCAATCACAGCGCGAGGCCGAGAGAGGGGCGCGAGCGGGCAGCAGGATCCGTCCAATGGCGAAGGGAAGAGCGGGGCGGAGCTCAGGCAGCAGCCAATGGGTGAGCGCGGGYTGGGGCCGCATGGCGCCGTGGCAGCAGCGCTCCCGGGCCGGGTCACGGCCGTGGCCGCGTGGAACTGCCCCGCCCCCGCCCCTCCTCGGCCCGCTCCGGGAGCGACCGGGACGGTCCGTAGGCGGGCTCCCTCAGGCGGGGGGAGAGGGCAGCGCGTCTTGATGCTGCTGCTGTCACCATCCTCGCCGGCAAAACGGCAGTGCTGCTTCGGGCACGCTGGTGGCTGGAGCGGAGAGAGGGTCGGGGTGGGGTGAGGCCGTGGGGAGCCCCTCGCTGCTTCGTGTGAGGGAGCTGATGCACGAAGCGGTTCCTCCGAGACCTGGAGGGCTGTCCCGGGACGCTTCGGGCTGTGTCCTGGTGAAATCTGCCGTCCGACCCGCGGGCAGCCCCGGTGAGCTCCGCAAAGCGTTTAGGAAATCAGACATAGTTACTGTAATGCCCTTGCCAGCAGCTCGGGAGAGACGTATCCTGGCCGGAGTCCGGCAGGACATCGAAGGCTCTTGCAGGGAACCCTGCAGACCAGCCTCGGGCAAAGCTTAATTCAGTACGATTTATATTTGGTTTGAAGACTGGAGTGAGCCTGACAGCCCTGCTGAGTTGTAYCGCCCCGACAGCTGAAGCTGCCCGGCTGTTCGCTCTGCCCACGGCTGTTTAAAAACCATATTGGATTTATGGACAATGTGTTTTCTGACGGGGTTTGGGAATACGTATTTCTTTCAAAGACCAGGCAAACTAAAGGCTGTATTTAGTTAGGCAGTTGGTAACGCCCTACCAACCTCAGTACAGTTTGGCTGTACCTGGCTGACCCAGACAACGCCAGAAGCAAACCACAAAGCATCCATAGCTGTGTCCTATTAAACACCTGCATGCATCCTGATGAGGGAGTGGGGAGCAGTTCCTGAGCTGCAGGAGTGTTAATTGGCAGAAAGGAAACAGTCTGACATGTTTAATCCCACACTGAAAAATGGAAGAGTGTGACCTTTGACTTCTCCAGTGTAATTTAGAGGGAAGGGCTGTGGTGTTTCTTAGCACTTAGCATTGGGGAAAAAACAAAGCGATAACCAGTTCAAGCAGATAAATTCAAAAGAATGGTCTCATCCRTTTCTCTCTGATTTGCTACTATTGATAGTTATTTTCCTGTATTATAGTCACATCTTGGAGCCTTTGTCATGGATCTTATTGCAAATTCAGTAGGAACATGCAGCYGCTAACAAGTGAATTAGCTTCTGTAAAAGACAGTCATTTTTCTTGCCCCAGGAGCACAGGAAAGCTTCATAGCTTGGTTTCAGCCTATTTGCAGGCAGCAGTGTGTGTCCAGTTTGCTTCGTGTTGCCATGTCATCTTTGGACAGGCTTTCTGTAATAAGGGGTGCAAACAAGCCTCAGGGGTAACAAGTGCAAACAAGCTTGTTCCTTTTCTTACTGTGGCCACTCCCATATCTGGACTGCCACTGAAGCAGGTATGGACTTGCCTCAGCAGTAAGCTTTCTTCACCTGGTTTCCATACACAGTGAGAGAGACCCACCAGCTAAGATGGGCTGGGCCATGCCCCATCTCTTGTGTTGCAGGTTGGGAGCATGGGGAASAGTGGTGTTACTAGGAAGGACCTTGGGATCAAAGCAGCAAACACCCCCATTTAGCACTTGAGTGCTTGCACAGGTGGACTGGCTTCGGTGTAGGTGCAGTGAGGAGCGCTGGTGGGGAAGGGGCACAAGTGATTTGTTTCTGGATGAGCAGGGGAGGGCTTTTGCAGAGTTGAAGTAATCCAGGAGGAAACTAATAAATATAATGGAAAAAAAAAAAAAGAGCAAGAAAGAAGTGTAGTACGGGACCACATACTGTAGAACTTTTTGAAGGAGTCTTTCCCCCATTGCCATAGTTGGCTATAAGCATTTTCCTCCTTTCTCCTCTCTCTTTGAACAGAACAGATTGAATTATACTGACTAGTTTGTGCAGATAGCCCACCAGTCTACACTCACAAGGCATATGTAGGGCAGCACCCTCTACTCCCTGCCTGCCTGCACAGGAAAGAGTTTCACCTGCTAATGCCTTACTGCTAGAGAGAATAAGCTGCTTCACCTGTCAGGCACTGGATCTCACTGCTGTGTTACCTATTAAAGCACAAACCCTTTTCACCTGTAGGTACCTGCAGACTGGTCACTTCATCTGTCCTTGAAACCAACTAACATGAACCCTTAGAATTTGATGGTTTTGGTTTAGGAAATGTAAATAACATTAAGGGACCTACTGGTTAGCTCGTGCAGGACTATACAGCCTCACACAGCAGCTGCAGTGCTCCCCTGCACAGAGGGACCTCACCCTTCCCTGAGCATGGGGCCAGCATAACTTGGGTGTTTTCGGGATATCTGGTCCCTTCCAGCACAGTGMTGGGGACACAGAAGGCCTTGCTCACACTGGGACTGCAGTGACAGAAAAGACTGGGATATCCATGGAGACAAGTCMCAGCAGCATGGGGATGCCATCCCAGGGCACAGCTACTGGCACAGGAAGCACCARCCACATCCCACAGAGCACCTGGAATCACACCTGTGGGCAACTCAGATATGGTTTGTGTTATACAAGGCACCTGTGTATACAGGTGGTGCAGCTTGTGCCTCTGGACTAAGCAGTTGCAAAATAGAGAGGCCAAACAAAATCTGAAGAGCAAATTCCAGTTTCAAATTACATTTTAAGTCTCAAGGATACTATTCCAGTGAACTGGCAGAGCAAACTGCCTTACTCTGCCAACTGAACAAAGCAAAGAACTGTATAAAAAATTAATGAGTCAAAAGGAAGAGTAGACCATAAATAACAAGTCAAAACAGGCAGGGATTGCTGCACACCAGGCTCATATTGACAGAAAGCTTACATCACTGATGTGAGTCTATGAGTACTGTCCTAACCATCTGTAGGTTTGGGGATCAGAGAACAGAGTTGCAAACTGTGGAGATGGCAGAGAGGCAAGTTCAGGAAGGAGCAATTGGGGTAGCCACTGGGACAAAGTAGCAGAAAATTATTCTGCTGCAGTGTCCCAAAAAGAGTAAAAAAGGGCCTTCTGCACAGATACCATCTAACTCATCAGAGATGTGACTGAGGGGAAGAATTTCAAACTCAAACATACCGGGAATTGGACCTCACATAAAGATGAGGCTCTTATTTCATTACTCACTTGTCTCCCCCTCTCTATAATAARATCAGTCCAGTGGCTGATCCTATGATCAGGAKCTCTGTCTTTTTTGACACCCATGTAGGGGGCTTTTGAACTACTGAGTTCATTTCGTTTGTGCCTTGCTTTCTAAGTCCATAAAAAGAGACCATCACTGTACCCACCCAGCCCTCATCCCCCACCCTCCCCAGCCCCAATCCAGGATGAAGTGAAAGGCTGCATCTGTTCGGTACAAACAAAACCCTAATTTACATGTAAATGCATGTGATATCGCTGTAGCAGCAGAGTTGTAGCAGTGAAGCTCTCCTTGTGTGCAGGCAGCTTATGTCAGCAGAATGAGGCTCTTTTTCGAGCAGAACTTTACCGAGCAYCATCAGCTATATCAGCAAAAACATTGAATACCAATATAACTACATCCTCATTAGGACCTCGAGGCCCATGGTATTCTAATTTCTAATTTCTTGCTAGATGCTTAAATACTTTTGAGGATCTGAACCTACCTATTGGCATTATGGAACTTACYGTCTTCCTATCAGAACCCTGGCAAACAGGTTCAGAGCAGATGCGGTCTCACTTTCGCCAGTGACTGCAGAGCGCTCTGAGAAACTCTGGTAAAGGGCCCAGAGCTCAGCAGAGCATGATCAAGCTGCTATGGCTGACTTCAAGGGCAACATAACTGCTGCTGCTGCTTCTGACAGTGCTGTTAGTACTGCAGGAGACTGGACGGGTTCTTCCTTATTCACCTSTTCCCATGAGAAGAACAAAACCAAAAATAGGGTTCCCTTGAAAATGTCTTCCAGTTCAGTCCAGAGAAAAAGGTCAGTACAGGAAAAGAGAGGGCTACTCCCTCTTCTTTGGCAAGGATAGAAGAGAGAGAGACTTTGCCATATTGTGAAATGGGGCGAGGGAGAAATGAACAGAGTCCTTAACAATCCATAACTAACAAAGTAAAGGATGTAAAAGCCAYACTTAACTTGAGGAAATGAAAATTGTTAGCAGCTGTACACTACCAAGAYGGGAAATCTACCCCAGGACCAGGGACTATTACTTGGGCTTCAATGAGAGACTGTGATGCTGCAGGCAGGACTGAGCACTCACACACTCACAGTGCGTGTGCTATTCAGCAGCAGCCAGACAGGGCTGCAAGGCTCACTCTGTGCTTGAGCCTCGAGTGCACGGGAGACACGTCTGTATCCAGCAAGTATAAGAGGAAACTATGAGAAATGTCAATATTCGTAGGAAAATCACATCTCTAGTGAAGATGCTGCAGGCTTGAGTGGTTGCTGTATCGGGCACGGCCATAAGAGGGAAGTGTGTGCTCAGGCATTTGGTGCTTTCTCTGGGCTGGAGCAGCCCCATCTGTCTTGGCTGCGGGCTTTGCAAGCACTGTGAGTCCGCCTGGGTCCCGCCTCCTCTGCGGGGCTAAAAACGG